CCCCAAAACCCCAAAACCCCAAAACCCCAAAACCCCATCAAGTGCATCAAGCAAATGAATCACTCTTTAAGTTAAGACTTAATTTATAGTATTTATAAGAAGGCTATTTATTATTTATTAATAGCTAGGCTATCCTGAAATAACATTCTATTATAAAAAATAATATCTATATTTAAAACTAATGTCCAAAGTATCCATTGCCTTAAGCCTTCTTGGTAATGTAGATATGCCAATAAAATGAAAAACAAACCACATTTTCATTATAGCAGTGTTATATATTATCATTCTTAATGATTTATTAGCCCAAGTTTGCTATAGCAGTTTTCCTTAAATTTACAATAATGTAGAAACTTAAAAAACACTGATCTTTACTAAGTATGATAAACGCACAAATAATGGTTATTACTTTTTTGTCTCAACAAATTAAGAACTGTATGTTATTGTTCTTTCATTTGGTGGTAGAGAAACATATTCTTTGCAAATTTAAAATTGGTAATCAAATGAAATATATGATATGGCATTTTCAAATGATGGCAAATAAATTATCTTTGGGGGTGACCGATTGAGTGGTTTGGAGGTATTCAATAGGCTCTTTTACTATAATTTTTAGTACAAAATAGATATTGACGGCTCTAGGTAACCTTCATAGATAATTCCAATTAGTATTATAAAATCTGAAGGTAGAATAAATTTTATGGTACTTCAAAATGATGCTGTTTATTTAGCTTAGGCATTCAGCTCAGATTGGTACAGTCTTGGAAGACCCTCAGCTAGGGTAATTGAAGGAAAGGAATACAATTATAATCATTTAGTATTCTATGTTGAGTTAAATTAAAATGAACCTTCAGCATTTTATTGGGCTTAGCCATTTTTAAATGATGGAACGTATAATGTATTTAGAATAGGAATTCGAGATTATAATATCGAGCATGGATTTAGCTTTTTGAGCTCTCGCTTTCCTGCTACATAAAATAATTACATTGCAAAAATTTCTGCATTTAATTTCACAGAAAACTTAAATATGAATGATATTTGTCTATGCTTGA